GTCCTGTGTGCCTGTTCACCACCCGCTTTCATCTGTGGATAGAGGCTCTGCTCCTGCGTTCCTGTGTGAATGGGTGGGGTGGGGTCTGCATGTCCCTGGGCTCCTGGGAACCTGTGAGGCCTGCGAACAGCCTTTCATTGGCGAGAAGTGGAAAGATAATAATTACAACTGTAAAGAAAAAATATCCAAATCTTGGAAATAAGACAAAAAGGGTGTCTGTGTACCCCTTCAATATCACGCTAAGGCACTGTCCGATGAGCCCGGGGCCCCTGATTCTCCGCAAAGTTACCCGGTAACTTGTAAAAAGTGCACAAGCTGCAAATGATTTCTGACCTGTAGTAGAAATAACGCTCAAGCTTATGGTTTTGTGCCCTGTAAGACATTAACCAGTGTCGCAGCTAACTTTGCCATCTTATCCTGCTTTAAATCAGCTTTGCCATCCTACTGGTTCCGTCATTAATGAGTTAAATAACACTTTGACAGGTGCTCACTATACATTTGTATAAGATTCATGTTTTCAACTTTCTGAAAATAATTTTTAACCCAATTACCCTTTCTCAACGGCTCACTCGGTGCCAGGCAACATGCTGATGGCTTCCCATGGATGGAGAGGCTCAGAGGGTGGGCTCTGGGGTGTGGCAGATCTGGGTACGAGTTTCCCTTTTACCATCACCAGCTATTAGACCTCATGCAAGACTTAAATAAGCACCCACTGTGGACTGGACCCATTCACATTCTTACCCCTTATTCAACTCCAATTGCGCAGCAACCCTGCACGATGAGGTATGTTTGCATTTTTCCACTTTGCACATGTCTCTGAGCACATCCCTTCCCTCCCTGAGCCTCAGGGTCTCTGGCTGTAAGATGCGGCTGGTAACAGCTGCCTCCCAGGATTGTGTGATGATGTAGCACAATGTTCGCAAAAGCAATCTGGTCAGCAGTAGGAGGCTCAGGGAGGTGGAGTGATGTACCCAAAGTCCCAGAGCTGGTCCCAGCTCTTCTGGCTCCAAAGCCTAGGCTCTGACTCCTCCTACTTCAGTCACTCAAGCCTTCATTTCTACATCTACTAAATGGGGATAGCTCTGGGAGTTGATAGCAAACTCTGCCTGGCAGAGGGGTCAGCTGTTGTGGCAGCTGCAGACAGTTAGTTCTGTGGTTGCATGAAGGGCTCAAATGCACATGTCACATATCAAGGTCATCTGTGGAGACAGCTTTTTTGTTTTCTCTTTTAAGGCTGGCATTTGAAAAGGGATTTTTTCCCCCCACCCTCAACGAGCAGAGCATTTGTGCTCTGAACTCCAGGCTTTGGCTCCCAAAGTGCTGGGATGACAAATGTGACCCACCAGAGCTGCTCTATGTACTTTATTTTGTGTAGTTTATACCTTAATAAAAAGGCAGAAAAAAAAAGAGGGAGGGGGGAAAGGAAGGAAAGAAAAGTGGGCACAGTGTTCCTTGCCTGGCCTGACCTCCAGGACAAAGTGAAGAGGCTGGTACCCAGGCCTCTCTACAAATAATGGGCAGATTGGCAGCAAGATTGAGCCTTGACAGCGGACAGAAGAGAGGGGCTGGTGTCGGGCCTGCCTCGATTTCTTTAGCCCCCACCCTAGGCATCTCCCAATGGGACATTCCCTCAATAGTGGAAGGCAGGTAGTACCACCTGATGGACAACAGAAAGTGGAATTTTGAAATCACACCTACTGGCTGTGTGACCTTAGCCATGTTGCTTGCCTTCTCTGGGCCTCAGGCTCCTCACCTGGAAAATTGGAACAGGACTCTCAAAGAACTTCAGTCAGCCAGGCGCAATGGCTCACACCTGCAATCCCAGCACTTTGGAGGCCGAGGCAGGCAGATCACCTGAGGTCAGGAGTTCGAGACCAGCCTGGCCAACATGTTGAAACCCCATCTCTACTAAAAAATACAAAAAAAAAAAAAATTAGCTGGGTGTGGTGGGCACCTGTAATCCCAGCTACTTGGGAGGCTGAGGTAGGAGAATTGCTTGAACCGGGGAGATGAAGGTGTGGTGAGCCGACACAGTGCCACTGCACTCCAGCCTGAGTGATAGAATGAGACTCTGTCTCAAAAAAAAAAAAATTGCCGGGCTTGGTAGCACCTGCCTGTAATCCCAGCTACTCGGGAGGCTGAGGCCGGAGAATCACTTGAATCTGGGAGGTGGAGTTTTCAGTGAGCTGAGATTTGCCCCACTGCACTCCAGCCTGGACAACAGAGTGAAAGTCTGTCTCAAAAATCAAAAAAGAAGAAAGAAAGAGAGAGAGAGTGAGAGAGAGAGAGAGAGAGAGAGAGAGAGAGAGAGAGAGAGAGAGAGAGAAAGAAGAAAGAAAGAAAGAAAGAGAGAGAGAGAGAGAGAGAGGGAGGGAGGGAGGGAGGATAGGAAGGAAGGAAGGAAAGGAGGAGGAGGGGAGGAAGAAGAAGAAGGGGAAAGAAAAGAGGAGGAGGAGAAGAAGGAAGAGGAAGAAAGAAGGAGGAGGAGGAGATCATCGTCTGTGGAGAGGCTTCAGACACTGGCTGAAGCGCCCTCAGCACACTGGGTTTGCTTTGGCCAGTGCTCCACAAATGCAGCTCTTACCGGCCTCAACCCCATGTGGGAGGGAGTGCCAGCCTAGCTATCACTGGGTTTATCCGCAGGTGAGAGGCGGTGTTGAAGTCCTGAGTTCCAGCCCTGATTACTTTCCACTTGCTATCTGTGTGACCCCGGACCTGTCACTTCTGAGTAAAATGTCTTCCCTCCTGAGTTGTCATTTCACTCATTCATTCACCTTTGGGCAATTTCCTCGGCTTTTCTGTGGCTCACTTTGCTCATCTCTAAAATGGGGATGATAATAGCCCCCACTGCAAGGGTTGCTGTGAAGATGAAGGGAATCTGCACTTAGAACAGTGCCTAGCACAGCAAGAACTCAGAAGCACTGTCTGGCATTCCAATTTGTGCCCATCCATGGATGAGCTCCCGCTGTGTGGTGGGCACCAAGGGTGCCTGTGGGGCTGGCAGTCCAGCTGGGGGCTGGGCATACCCTTCATGCGGGGTCATGCAGGTGGATGACAAGGGAGCCCCAGAGCACTCCGCCTTCCAAGGCCACCGCAGTAACTGGGCCAGATGCGTGGCTCTGTCAAATGAGGCGCCAGGAGAGGCTGTCACGGATGCACAAAGACAGCTCCTGAACTCATCGTGGGTGGGGCCCGAGGGAAGAGCTCCAGCCACCTGGCTCAACAACTGTTCATGGGGCAACCTGGCCCCAGGCCTGGGCTCTCCTTCCTATCTGTGCAGTGAAAGGATGAGGCAGCAGGGCAGGGGCCGGAGACAGGCCCAAGATGCTGGGCAGAGACGTAAGAGCCGAATCACAGAGCTTGGAGAGAGACTTCTAAGACCAGGAGGAGAAGAAGAGGAGGGGGAGGGAAGAACATTGACGATGAACAGCTAACACCTGGCAACCATGGCATCCTTCTAGAGACACTATTAGCATCCACTGTACAGCTCAGGAAACCAAAGCACAGAGAAATTAAGTGACTTGCCCAGTGCCACACAGCCAGTGTGTGGCAGAGCTGGAATTAGAACCCAGGCAGACTGACATCAGAAGCTATGCTCTTAATCATTAGGAAAAGGAAGAGGAGGGAAAGGAGAGGTGAGGGGGGAAGAAAGAATACACAGAAGAGGCCGGGTGTGGTGGCTGGCGCCTGTAATCCCAGCACTTTCAGAGGCCGAGGTGGGTGGAGCATGAGGTTCAGATTTCGAGACCAGCCTGGCCACCATAGTGAAACCCCATCTGTACTTAAAATATGAAAAAAAATTAGCTGGGCATGGTGGCATGCGCCTGTAATCCCCGCTACTTAGGAGGCTGAGGCAAGGAGAATCGCTTGAACCTGGGAGGCAGAGGTTTCAGTGAGCTGAGATTGCGCCACTGCACTCTAGCCCTGGGGACAGTGTGAGAGTCTATCTCAAAAAAAAAAAAAAAAAAAAAAAGACTAGACAAAAGAAAGAGAGGAGGAAAGGGGAGTAGAAAAGAGAAAGAAAAGAAAGGAAGAAAAGAGAAAAATGAAGATGAAAGAAGGAAAAAAGAGAAAAGAAGGAAAAAGGTAGAAGAGAGGAGGTAGAGGAGATGAGGGGAGAGGAAAGAAGTGGAGAGTTAAGGAGGGAGGGAGAGAGACTCATCATCCTTGGGGGTCTGAGGAGGGGGGCTGCCCTCTGCTCCCTCTCATGTGCCACCTGCGTTGAGCTGCTTCCTAAGCTGCACACTAGGCTCCAAGACAGCCGTGGCCACCACAATGGGGAAGCCTGGCACTCTGGAGCAGTGGCTCCCATCACGGGGGCTGGTGAGCCAGCTGCTGCCCAAAGCCAGAGAGGGGAGGCTGAGAGGGCTGAAGAACTGGAGGGGTGACAGGCAAGGAGCCCCTGCTGTTGCCCTGCTGGAGGGCCTGTTTCCACCCCGCAGCCATGCTTCAGGGTGGACTTCTGGCCTCCAATGCCAAGTTGAAAAGCCCAAGTCAGGAAGGTGAAGTACATCCCCCAGGTCTCATGGCTGAGCCCACAGTCAGGTTCCAGGGGCTGCGTTCACATCCTGCCTCCCCTGCAGGCTCTGTATTGAAGTGGAGGCATCAGCCAAGTATGAACACCAGCAATTGGCAGAGCTTGGCTGAGAAGTTGCCTGTACACAACCAGATGGGCTCTCTCAACCTGCTCCCTTAGAGCTAAACTTACCTACTTAGTCTGGGCACCCACGGGCCTCCTCTGCAGGGGCAGCCTGCCAAGGACACAGAGAAGAGGAGGAGAAAGGAATGTAGGCCATGGGCACTCCGCCATGACCAAGCTGAAGACCCTGCAGCCAGCATGGCCATGTCCCACAGCACGGCAGCTGAGACACTTATTCCTCACTCAGGTTCCATGTCTATTGGGGGCCCGCTGGGGACTCTGGGATCTGGAGGTCTGAAGTCTGCTTTTAGATGACCTGTGATCCCTTTGAAATTGCACCCCCATTTCTTTCTGTATGTACCTGAACTTTCTGGAGGAGGGCCTTTGGTTTTCATCACACTTTCATCAGATGGCAGTTGGAGCAACAGAAGAAGCCAAGAAAGGGCACGAAGAAGTCCTCATTATCTGAGGCTGCACAGCAAATGACCCCCAAACTTAGTGACTTACAACACAATGATCATTGTCTCACAATTTCTCTCAATGTCTCCCAATGCCTCACAATTTCTTTGGGTCAGGAATATGGAGCAGGCCTGGCTGGGTGGTTCTGGGCTGCTGTCATCTGAAGGCTTGACTGGGGCTGGAGGATCCACTTCCCAGGTGTCTCAGTCATATGACTCAAGTCCATGCTGGCTGCAGGTGGGAGCTCAGTTTCTCTCCATGTGGCCTTTCCACAGGCTGCTTGAGTGACTTCACAGCTTGGTGCTGTCTTCCCTGAGAGGATCAAACCCAGAGACCAAGGCAGAAGCTGCAACACACTCTATGATCTAGTCTTGGAAGTCACACTCTATCATTTACACAAAATCCTACTTGTTATTAGGACTCAAAGATTACTAGGGCCTTTAGGGGTTGGCCACCACAGGTGGTTCTGAGAGGTGAGAGGACAATCTGGAGAATTCAGAGCCCTGAAGATCAGAGGTCTCCTACAGAGAGTAGCCCTGCCCTGAACAGACAGCCAGGGTCATGGTTCAAGTCCAGAGCTTTCCACCACTTTCCTAGGCCAAACTTCCACTGTCCACCTCATTTATGGCCACACCTTCCCCACAGTCTCTCAGCTATTGATTTTCTATCAATTTCCTAAAGGCAATATGACTTCCCCCACCTCCAAAACTTTGTTTCTGTTCTTTTCTCATCCTTGAATACCCTTCTTACCTCTTCTTCTCTCAGGCTACCTCCTCTAGGAAGCCTCCCTGCACATACCCCCACATGTGTCAACTGCCCCTCCAATCCCCAGTGCATCTCCCATCACTGCACAGACCCTCAACACCCATATCTGCCTTCTTACTCAACATCAGTACCATGGCTTGGGGGACTGACCCACAATGGGTGCCCATCAGTGTGTGCTGAATGCATGAATTATGGGGGGGGGTTACACCCACACACAACAGGGAGCCCCTTCAGGGCAGAGAGAGGCACTGAGACATGGCCGATTGCCTCCCTGGGCCTCAGCATACCAACCTGTCAAATGCCCAAAAGGCTCCTTCCAGCCCCAAGATTCTGCTATTACATCCCCCTAGAAGTGCTCAAGGGACAGCATCTTGAAATTAAAAGAGGGGCACGAGCAGGGTTGGTATCCCAGAGCCTCCACCTACCTTAACTGCAAGTCATCAATCTCTCTGAACCTCATATTCCTCAGTAATAAAAGGAGCTAGTGTTTTTCACCACCTAGGGAAGCTGACAGGGTGAATGCTAACGCAGAAGAGGGGATAAATCTGGACTCCACCACTAGGCAGATGACTTTCACTTTCCCCATCTGTTAGATGGGGACGATTATATTTGGGTGGCCAGGTTGCTCTGACCTGAAACTGCGTTGATCTAGGTGAACACTCTGCACAGAGCCTGGCATGGGGTAGATGCCTGGAGCAGTCGTGGAAGGGACACAGTCTCCCTTCAAGAAACAGCTTGTCCTTCAGCTGCAAGGAGGACAGCGAGCTGACAGCCTCCAGCTGCAGTACCTCCAGGAGCCACCTTGGCTTTGGAACTGAGGCCATGTTCTTCCCAGATCATCCTAGTCAGACTGAGCCAGCTGTGGCACCAGGGCCTGGTCATTTCTGTCCCACATGGGGCTCCTCTGTGGATAATCTTTACTCCAGAGCCCCCGGAGGGTGGACCCTGCAGGCCTGCTCTGTGGTCTGAGGCTCTCCTGGTCAATTCCACTCCCTCCTGCTTTGTGTTTCATAGGCAGCAGCCCCGCCAACCCCCTTACTCTCCTACCTCTCTTCCAGCACCAGCACCGAGAGGAACCCGAAATGAAAGACCACTCAATACAGCAGTGGTTCTCAAAGTGTGTCCCAGAACCCACAGCATCAGCATCAACCAGGATCTGGTAAGACATACGCGTTCTCAGGCCACAGCCTACACTTAGAGATGGCGCCTGGCAATCCTCATTTTAACTGATCCTTCCAATGCACTCAACTTGGAAAACTACTGTCACAGAGGACAGCGATCTGTAAGCTATGCAGAGCAGTATGGCCACGGTGCGTGTGTGCGCACGAGCGCACGGGCACCTGTGTGTGTTTTGCAGGAAGGGGGGAATGTTTTATCACAGCCTCAGCAATTTACTGCCCCCAAGGCCATCCCTCATTTATTTCAAGAAGCTAAGGGCTGGGCCAACATGCTCCCCTCGCTGCCCATTCAGGAGGAAGGTCCAGTCCCAATCTCCAGCTGGAGACTCTGCAGGCCCAGTTGTGAGGCTGCACACAGCCTGGCCTTCTTTCCTCCTGCTTCTACACTCTCTCCCCGCCTTCCTCCCCTTCCTCCCCAGGGGCACACAGCCCCAACAGCCTGCCTCCTCTTTGTCTGCCAATCTGTCTCCATCCCGTGATGAGCCCCTGGCCTCAGCCAGCCAATCTGTGCTCCATCTTCATGACAGAGAGCAAGGCCTTAATGCTCCCAACTACTTCCCACTCGCCCTGGGGCAAGGTCACTGAGAATGGTTCATGCAGCCAGCTTCACTTCTGCCTCCCAACCTGTGGCCCAGGTGGAGCCCCTGCCCAGTCTAGACCGATAATCGCCCCTCCTGATGGCAGACATCCTCCCCATCTAAGACACTCAAAGCCTCATTATGTGACAAGAGAGGACAAAGGGGACGGAGTTGCAGAGGCTTGCCCAGGGTCACACAGCAAGGGAAGGAAGCAGCCAGGAGTCGGCCCCTGCTTACTTCCACCTTAGATTCCAATGTCCAGGCTGTGGCATGTGGCAGGTGATCATTCTAAGTTGGTCACATGTGGCAGGGACAATGTTAGCCCTGGAAGCTTGAGACCTTTGTGAACTCACAAAAGCAGCACGTGCTTCTTTCTCCAGTGGGTGTGGTCCTTGTCCTGCTCCCCAGTGCCACAGCCCTGCAGACAAGGCTCAGGCAGGACAACACTGCCCATGGGTCACATTGTTGCCTTCCCTTTTCTAAACTGTCAGTAGGTGATACATCAACACTGTCCTTCTTGATGCTCAGCTCCTCCCCCATCCTGCCCTGCCTCAGGGAACCCTAGAATGTCAGGGCCAAAATAACAGTGATAGTAATGACAGGTTACTTGCTATGCGGCAGGCATGTCAGACAAGTGCTCCAAACATCATTTTATTTATTTATTTATTTATTTATTTATTTATTTATTTATTTATTTTTGAGACGAAGTCTCACTCTGTCGCCCAGGCTGGAATGCAGTGGCGCAATCTCGGCTCACTGTAACTTCTGCCTTCCAGGTTCGAGCAATTCTCCTAACTCAGCCTCCCGAGTAGCTGGGACTACGGGCGCCCACCACCACAACCAGCTAATTTTTGTATTTTTAGTAGAGACATGGTTTCACCATGTTGGCCAGGGTGGTCACAAACTCTTGACCTCAAGTCATCTACCTGCCTCAGCCATCCAACCTGCTGCGATTGCCGCATCTGGCCCATTCAGTTTTCACCAGGAGCCCATAATAGACGTGGGCTCAGCCCACTCTACTGACGTGGACATAACATCTCAAAGAGACAAGGCACTTTAACTCCCCTGGACCAGCTCCTCTATTTGATAGATGGGGAAGTTGAGGCCCAGAGAGGTGACATGATTTCTCCAAAGACACACACTAGTCAGTGTCAGAGTCAGCCTTTCCCAGGCAGCTTACCTCCTGAGAGTGACCGTAGTTCACTCACACAGCACTTCACAGTTTGTCAAGCTCTTGTCTCCTCTCAGGAAGGCAAGGGTTTCTTTTGTTTAATGGCCCTCACTCTGGAATGCTTGTATGATGCGCCAGACAAGCATGGTTGGAAAAGCTTTGTCAACATTAACCCATTTAATGCTCACACCCTATGAAGAGATATGTTTATTGCCCTCATTTTGCAAATGAGGAAATAGGCACAGAGAGCTGAAGTCATCTGCCCAAAGTCACACAGCCAGGATTCAAATCCAGGCTGCCTAAGGCATTAACCATTATGATGTCCTACCCAATTTTTTTTTGTTTTTTTGAGACAGAATCTCACTCTGTCACCCAGGCTGGAGTGCAGTGGTGCAATCTTGGCTCACTGCAACCTCTACCTCCCAGGTTCAAGCGATTCTCCTGCCTCAGCCTCCAGAGTAGCTGGGACTACAGGGCCAGTAGTCCACCACTATACCAGGCTAATTTTTTCATATTTTTAGTAGAGATGGGATTTTACCATATTAGCCAGACTGGTCTCGAACTCCTAACCTCATGATCCGCCCACCTCAGCCTCCCAAAGTGCTGGGAGTACAGGTGTGAGCCACGGTACCTGGCCGACGTCCTGCCCTTTTTACTGCCCAAACACCTGAGGCTCAAGGAGAGGACATGACTTGCATGAGGCCACACACTAGAGCGGTGGTGGCTGGACTGGAGCTTAGCTGTCCTGCCCCCACTCCCAGGGCTGTTTCTCCACCCTCTGCCCCACCCCATGAGGCTCTTTCTCACTTTATGTCTGTTGATTCACCAACACTGATTGGGAGTCTTCTTTGGCCAGGAGGCCTGCCTCAGTTTCCCTATCTAAAAGGTGAGGTAAACGGGAAACAGACACCTGAAAAACAAATGGGCAAATGGGCTCATTGAGGTACCAGAGGCAGCTGTGGGAGTACCAGGCAGGACACCGACATGCCCTGGGAATAAGAGAAGGCTTCTGGAAGTCTGATCCTTGAATTAAATCTCCAAGTTCAAGTGGTACCCTTTCTGGAAGGACAGAATGAAATAGGGCATCCCAGACTGAGGAAACAGCATGTGCAAAGTCAGGGTGTGGGAGAGTGTATGTTGTTGTGAAAATGCTGTTCAACCCCACGCAAGGGAGGGCACAGAAAAGGCTGTCCCAGAGGATCATGGAGGGCGTCTCAGAGAGTCAGAACATGAGAATCCTGACCACAAATCTGCCCTGCCTCACAGTGGCCTTGGTACTCCCATCTGTAAAATGGATTATTATCTAAGCGCTTTGCCAGCTCCATCTTTTTGCTGATGGAGTCAGGATGGCTTTGAGTAGGAGGCTGGTTTTGATATAAGGGCAGGAGGTAAGGGAGGAAAGGCATTCTGGAGGAAAGGCAAAGGTCCAGAGAGAGAAAGTGCAGAGCAGGCAAACACGGTGGCTCACACCTATAATCCCAGTATTTTGGGAGGCCAAGGCAGAAAGATTGCTTGAGTCAAAGAGTTCAAGATCAGCCTAGACAGCATAGTGAGACCCCGTCTGTACCAAAAAAAAAATTAGCTAGGTATGATGGCATACACCTGTAGTCCCAGCTGCGTAGGAGGCTGAGGCGGGAGGACTGCTTGAGTCCAGGAGGTCAAGGCTGCAATGAGCCATGATTATGCCATTGCACTCCAGTCTGGGCAACAGAAAGAGACCTTGTCTTGAAAAAAGAAAGAAACTAACAGTAAGGAGAGGATTTAGCTGCTGTTGAGGGTCCATGTGATGATGTAGGTAGGGGACACATATGAAGAAGTTGTGTTAGTCTGGACTCTTCAGTTAGAAGTGAAAAAAAAGAAAAAAAAAAGGAATTATTAATTTATATAACTGAGAAGCCCAGGGTATGGCTGGGCTTCAGGTATGGCTGAACCCAAGAGCTGACACGTTATTGTGAGGATCCTGTCTCTCTCTATCATGGCTTTGATTTCCTCCTTATCACCTTCACTCTCAGGCAGACTCTATCCTTGTGGAGGCAAAGGTGGCCATCACTTGCTCCAGAATCCATCACACAAACTACAATTCTGGAGGAACGGCTCCCAGTAGCCCCACAAAAACCTCAGAAAGGGCTCTTGCCAGACTTACTTCCTAGAACTGTCATGAAGATTAAAAAAGTTAGTAGAGTTTAGCCCAAGGCCTGGTACACAGCAGTCCCTCAGTCTTCGCTGTGGCTCAGCCAAAGAACTTGACACTACCTTGGACTGTTCTCTTTCTTCAAACCTAACATTAGATCTGTTTGCAAATCTTGTTGGATCTACCTATAGAAGAGATCTAGAACCCACTCATTTCTTCCCACCTCCACTGATAAGTCTGGTCCAAGCCACCTTCATCTCCCTACTTTGTTTTTTAAGTTTTATATGCATATTGTATATTTATATAATAATATATTCATGTATTCAATTCAATTGTGAACACAAGGTAGACGTGTACATCCAGCTCAGTGAATCTTCACACAGTGAGCAGATGATGTAACCTCCCCCAGATCATGATACAGGACACCGACAGCACCCCAGAAGCCTCCCTCATCTCCCCTCCTAGTTCTCCTAGTTACTCACCTCCTTAATAGTGTGTCCTTTTATGTGACTGAGTCACTAGTACCGGTTCCCAGCAAGTCACAGGCTTTCTCTCTTGCTCCCTTGTCCCTTTCAGTTAATTCAATCAATTCAGAGATCCTGTAAAATATCAGCCAAAAGATGCCTTCCCTCTGCTCAAAATCCTCCTATGGCTCCCATTTCATTTGGTGTAAAAACCCAAATCCTTACCATGGCCTGTGAGGTCCTACACAAGCTGGCACCTCATCCCTCCCTCTCTTCACTTTCCCCACATAACGCTCTGCTCCAGCCACACTTGCTCCCTTCTTTCCTTAAATGTGCTACGCACACTCTCAGGCATACACGCAGAAGACTGTTGTACTTGCTACTCCCACTGCCCAGAATCTTCTTCCTCTCCCATATTCTCTTGGTTCACTCCATCACCTCCTTCAAGTTTGTGTTCAAATGTCACCTTCTCATATCTGCTTCCACCCAAGACAGAGAATCAGAAACTGGATTTACCCTCCTGCTTGAAACAATCAAACAAACAAACCAAACCAGGAAATATATGTGAAACTATAGTTTTTAAGATTCTAGGAAACAGGCAATAAAGGATCACGATCCCTGAAAAGTGGAAGATAAACAAGATGAGCCCTATCATGGCCTTAGTTTACCACTGGGAGAGAGTTTTCAGATCCTAGTGCATGGAGGGGGAACGCAGGCAGCACCCAGCAAGCTTCCTGAGTTCAGGAAATAGAGCTGAGAGTCTAAGAAGGACAAAGAAGGCAGAATTTGCAGGACAGAGTATTGGGAGGAGAGAGTTGCACAGGGAAACAATTCTACAGATATGAAGAAAGTCTCCCCTGAGTATTAGACTGAGCAGTGGTTGGTGCTTTTGTATGATAAAACTACACTGAAGTCGGGGGGAAATCATCTGATAAGACTGGAGAACAGTGCTCAGTACTAACACAAAACCAGAAATATTAAAAACCAGAAAAAAACCCTCATAATTTCTGGGGCACTGGATAGAGGACTCAGGAAGGTCTTCTTTCAACAATGTTACATAATTAGCCCTCAACAGAGATCACTGCTCTGGACATACCCAACAAATTATAAAAACAAGACTAGAAAGGATAAAACTGTTTCCAAGTAACTTAATTGTATCTTAGAACAAAACTAAAGGAGATTTTTAGAAGCATGAAAGTGTACAGCATCCAACAAGGGTAATATTTACAATGTCTGGCATCCAAAGTTCACCATGCATGCAAATAAGCAAGAAAACATGGCCCATATGAGAATAATAATCAATCAATTGAAACTGACCCAGAACTGATACAGAAATAGCAGATGAGAACATTAAAATAATTATGCAAATTGTATTTCATGTGTCTGCATGTTCCAAAATTAAAGAGAGACTTGGAAGATATAAAATGACCCAAACTGAACTTCTAAAAATGATAACTACAATGTCTGAAATGAAAAATATGCTGATGTGACAGAAGAAAAGATTAGAGAGTTTTAACACATAACAAATAGAAATTACCCAAAATCAAGGACTCAGAGAAAAAGAAAGAATCCAAAAAAGCAAGAGCATTAGGAGCTATGGAACAACTTCAAGAAGCCTAACATATGTGTCTTTGAAGTCCCCAAAGGAGAGGAAATAGAAAACTAATGGCTGAGAATATTCATGTCTAATATAAACTATAAACTCACAGATCCAAGAAGCTTAACAAATCTCAAGCACAAGAAACAGGAAGGAAATTACCCATCATGATCATATTGCTCAAAACAGTGACAAATAGATAAATATTAAAATACAGTCAGAGAGA